TGCTTCCCTTTTATCGTTATAATGAACTTTGCCGAACAATACAGTGAAGTACAAATCAAGCGTGACATCAAGCAGTTTACCTGGTTAACATGACCTCATTAGACCCTGCTGGTAGATAATATAACTACACGCCCTACTCCATAGCCAGCCAAAACTAGCCATGTTTTCTGAGAAGTACATTTCTTTAAGCAACATCTATATCGCTAATGTTTTGTTAATATAGAACATGTTTTACCAGTGTTTGATTCTTATTGGACGGTGTTAAAAACATGAGTGGTGCTGTGCTGTGCAGTTTTTTCCTGCAGATTCAGAGAGTGAGTCACGTGGCGTTTACTGCTCAGGTTATTGGTTCAAAATGTTCTGTGGTTTCATGAACAAAACTGGCAGAATTCGAATCGACTACTTACAAGAGTTCTACGCAAATGAGATGGAATGAGAATGAGATGAAGATGAACAAATGTGCTAAAGGATAAATATCTTATATTATCAATCTCCTTGCGTGGTCTTCTAACTATATTCACTCTTACTGCAAAGCTCAGAAGTCAGATTCAATTCATCGGTTCGTCAAGACAATTCATGTAAATTAATCAGTTAATACAAAATGACTCGCCATTACGAGTCCCTAAAAAAATCCAGTGCAACATTTTGTCTTTTTCTACCAAATATTTACAGTGGTAAGTGTTGCTGCTCTCATTTGTTGTACAATTTGTGCAATAACAATAAAATCATTCTGATTATTGTAAATGTATCCGTTTAAGTTTAAGGATGTGATTTTAATTTAGCCATAGTCATATATTTATTTTAAAATGCTGTCTTAAATAGTTGTACTGTATTTACTTAGTATTATGTAACTTACTGATTATTAGTTAGAGAGCTTAAAAAATTAGTAGCTTGTAATTTGGAAAATTACAAAGTTGCTTCCCTAACACTGCTCCCAATTCTCTGATATGGAGATATCTACAGTACATGGAAATAATATTAACAAGTGGCACCTCTTTTTGTGCACATAGATTTTATGTTTATTTGTTTGTTGTAATTTTTTATCTATAATTTTATGATGGCATATGTTAATGTGGAGAAAATCATAAAGAATAGGGCAAAAACAACAGCAAATTCCCTTTACAGTCCAATTCTGTGGTCAGTCGTGGCACTGGATTATAATGATGATTAACTCCCCAGGTCCATACCTCGTCAAATCTCCCACATTTTCCCTAATGAATTTCCGCAGCTACTGTTAGAGTCTAATTATTGTTATTAGTTCAAAGTCTGGCAGTTACCTCACTATTACCTCATTGCCACAAAGGCCAATTCATTGCTACCATCAAAGAGCCACGAGGCTATCGATTTCAAACAGATATTAAACACCTGTATACACTTAAAAATTAAGTGTATACAAAACCTGCTGCGGCCTATCTGATGAGAATATGTTCTTCCTGTGGAATATTTGCTAAAACATTGGTCTGAATGCATATAGGCACAGCATGATTAACTGAAGTGAAGCCATGTTGAGGGAGAGGGCGACCTTGCATTGTGGCTGGCAGATCATATGAGTTCACTGCACATCTCACCATCTGTCTGCACCAGGTTTAGATGTGGCTTCAGCTCACTAGCTCGTAATGAATTGGTCATAATCGCTCACCCATTATATCACAGCTGATTCAGCCTAATACTACAGGATGTAATGGTGCAAGTACAGCAAATACAAACTGCCAAAACGCACACAGAATCGCTAACATCTTGTTGACTAAAAATGCTTTAATGCCTGCATTGTGCATTTTTACAGCCACTCTAATTAGCTAAGCCTGGCAAATGTCATAACAGAGCAGCTGTCAAAAGTATCTAGCGAGCTCCGGTTTGTTTAGATTTGTTTGCATGCTGACCTAAGGTTATTCTAAAAAATTCGATGCTTATTATTTCAACATAAAATGCAATTTTACTGTGTCTCTGACAAAACAGGCATATCAAAAACCACAAATTTGCCTCAAGTTGTAATGTTCCACTCTATGAGACCCTTATCACGCCGGTGCACAATGAACCAACTGCAGAACTTCAGGAAGGAAGACATTAATTTATTTTCCTGAGTGCATAACAGCATGGTTTTCCCCAAGCAAACAAAATAGTTTCAGCATCACCATCAATTTTGCAGGCAGAATTCAATTTTTATGAGCTTTATCACACATAATTAATTTGAAGTGCCTCAATAGGCAAATTGTTTATAAAAATGTATCCTCATTCATTTAAATTTGTCAATAGAATGGAAAATAATACAACAGCAGTTCTACCTTTTCTTAAAGAAATAGTTCACCCAAAAATGATAATTTGAACAAAATGTACTCCCCCTCAGGCCATCCAAGATGTAGATGAGTTTGTTTCTTCATCAGAACAGATTTGGAGAAATTTACATGACTCCAGACCATCAATTAATGTCTCGTGAAACGAAAAGCTGCATGTTTGTAATAAACAAATCCGTCAAGATGTTGCTTCTGTGAAGAAGTCCATCCCTTGTTGTCTTCTCACATCCAAATCCGCCCACATATTTGTTTAGAACTGTTTTGAACTGTTTTATTCAGTATTGGAAATGTCTTTGACTACATCTCTATCTGCATCCATGCCTTTGATTCTTACAAACATGCAAGATGACCATGATGAATTGGACTCGTGTTGTGGATTATTGTGGAATATTGCGATGTTTTTTATCAACAGTTTGACGGCACCCATTCACTGCAGAGGATCCATTGGTTAGCAAGTGATGTAATGCTGAATTTCTCTAAATCTGTTTCGATTAAGAAACAAACTCATCTACATCTTGGATGGCCTGACTGTACATTTTCAGCAAATTTTCATTTTTGGGTGAACTATTCCTTTAATATTTAATTTGAACATTCAAGTCCAGCTTTGCAATTGAAACGAAGGTGTTGTTAAAATGCACCCTGAATTGATTTTCTTAATCAGTCACTTTCAAATGACTATTTTATTAAAATTCTGGTTAGCAGCAGACTTTCATTTGCTTATTTACAGAGTGTTTGAGAAGAGTGTATTAAAAAGTCAGCCAGATGGCAGTAGTCCCTCCCCAGCACTTCTCCGAAGTAATAAAATGGAAACGATCTCTGATCAATCACTACATATGGGGTGGACAACAATGGCCTCATTACCACGATGGCGCCTCGGAGGCACAGTCGCTTGATAGCCCTCTAGTTTATCTGCACTTGCAGTTTGGCGAGGTTTCTGGGTAATTGGCACCAGCAGCAATGATGAACAGAGAAAGCATTCATCTCTTCTCTTTCTAGTTTCAAAACCTCGCTGAGCGTAACAAGTGCTTGGACACTGATCAATTTTAGTCCTGTTTTAGACTCTCACTCTGCAAACTCCAGCAAATCTGATACATTATATACAGTAGGATGATGCACAAAATAATAAATGTCTTAAGTATATAAATGCTCCTTATTCCTCAATGTTTTAAGATTATGGTAGCATTAATAATGTTTTTGAGGTCCTCAGCTTTTGGATCTTCTGCTGTCATTGAGGATCATATAAAGCTTTGCTGCCACCTAATGTGATGATGAGGAGGTGCATGCCTGGATTACTAAAATAAATTCTAAAAAAAATACACTCAAAAATTGTATTTTATAAAACAGTTAATTCTTTATACTGAACAAGGAACAGCTGAAGGACTATTATGCAATTAGTCTTTTGTCTATACCGCATTTGTAGGGGAAATATGCTGACGGTGAAACTCATAAGACTTTTTTGTGTCACGTTGCACATGGACACAAAAGTTCTACGTCCTCATAAAATTCTGCATTCTTCAAATTTTTACCTTTTGTATCAAGGTAGATTAGTTTATAAAAGCAAAAAAAATAATAATAATAAATTCGTCAGACCAGAACGTCCTGTTACTGTATATGTATGGAGAAGGCAGCTAATATGTCACATTTCGAGGAGATTTAACAGTGAGAGGTGGATTAATTTAAAGAGGCAGACTAAACACTAATGTAAAACATAATTTGTTCCAATAATGTTTATAGGACGGATGCTGCAAAACATTACTAAGCAGCACAGAAAGACAAGGCACAAGAAACATGTGAACAAATCAGTACATAGTAAGCAGGAAATTATGTATTCACTACCCTAAAGTAGAAATAGACAGTTGCCAATTCTGATGATGATAACTTTTATTTGTGTGCTAGATGCCAATCTACGGACTATGTGTAAACAAGAAATGATATTAACTGCATGACAAATGTTATCTGGAGAGAACGAGTGGCAGGTAATGAAGCTCAGTAGAAATGGTTTATTTGTTTTGTTTCTACAAATTAACTAGCAAGGGAATTTTTCTTTCTTTGGATGACATCTGTAGACATATGTGACCACTTCTATTCATTTTACTTTCCCTTTCACATACATTAATTTCCCTTTGTAAATTGCAGAATATGTGTGTATGTTTTTATTTGAGGCCTGTGGACACAGGTAAATCGGCCTTTGCTAATTTTATTAGGCTAGTCCACTACTTGGTACAGGACACAAAAGTAATCAACACTTAATTGTTTTCTGTCAAAAAAAAAATAAATAATATATATATTACACCATCATTCAAAAGTTTGGAGTTAGTAAGATATTTTAATGTTGAAGTTTCTCATCAAGCTCATCAAGGCTGCATTTATTTGATCAAAAATACATTAAAACAATAATATTGTAAAACATGATTGCAATATAAAGTAACTGTTTTCTACTGTGATTTATTTTAAAATATCATTTATTCCTGTGATGCAAAGCTGAATTTTCAGCATCATACTCCAGTCTTCAGTGTCACATGATCCTTCAAAATCATTCTAATATGCTGATTTGTTGCTTAAGAAACATTGATTATTATCAATAATGAAAAAGGTCGTGCTGCTTAATATTTTTGTGGAAGCTGCTACATATTTTTCAGGATTCTTTATTGTATACTGTCCCTTTAGATTAATTTAATGCATCCTTGCTGAATACAATTTTTAAACAGTAGTATATATTGAATGCAGATGAGAAAACAAAAAAAGTACAGTTATCACTTTAAATATATCATTCACTACTCATGGCTTTCTGGTATATTTCATCTTCTCATAAAATATTATGGCTTCTTATTAACATTACATTACAGACTAACACTCCATCCATTATATACGACCATATACATTAGATTACATGAAAGAATACTGTAGTTTTGCTCACACAACACCATCTACAGTAATAAACAAGAACACCATCACAGTCCATTGCTGAATTATACAGTGCGGTTCAAAACACACACTGTGTAATCACCATGTCAGTATCACTCCTTTTTCTTTTGTCACTTTACATATTCACTTTACAAATAAGAATAGCAGCACACATTCCTTTTTTACAGTAAGTTGATGTCATGTATATTTCGACAAACTATCTCTGAGAAACATATGCTTAGATGAAAATAACCGTTCATTGCAGTGCTTCAACAGAGGCACATTGGTCAAATTTCATTCATAATGCAAAAGAATACGGAGGTCCTGATCCAATGAGTGCACAACCGAGTTTACAAAATAAAAATGTCTGCAACTTGAAGGTCGCTCTTCATATTTTCTCCTTTCTTTCTTATTTTCCTGTATTGGTGCTTTTTTTATGAGGGTATTTCTGTGCAATCCCATAGGGCACATGGGCGGCAATGGCACCCATCTCTACAGCGCCCTCCACGTGAAACATCTGGTCATCAAAGTAGATGTGGGGCCGTATTTTCTCCAGCATGGGGCCTTTTGGTGCCCCGGCCAGGAAAAGAGCCTCATCTGTCTCTAGTCCCCAGGCACGGAGAGTCTTTAAGGCACGGATGCCTGAGCTGGCTGCGCTGCGGGCCGTCACGAGGTAGGTGCGGATGGGACAGTCCAGACGGTGGCCTTTAGCGTAGAATTTCTTCTGAAGTTTCCCGAGCACTTCCAGGAAACCTTTCAGTGGCCCCTGTGAGGTAGACAGATATATTAAACAGAATGTCTGTTGTAGCATCAACTACATTGAAGGACAAGGACACTCAGTCCGGTTGTTGGGAGATTCAGCTTTATATAATATAAAAACTTGATATATTATATCTGCTAATTTAAAGATGGTGTGTCATTATTTACTCCACTAGTGGCAATGCCAAAATTATAATTCTAAGGGATTACAAAGAAATAATTCACCCAAAAATGAAAATTTGCTGAAAATTTGAGTTTGTTTCTTCATCAGAACAGATTTGGAGAAATGTAGCATTACATCACTTGCTCACCAATGGATCCTCTGCAGTGAATGGGTGCCGTCAGAATGAGAGTCCAAACAGCTGATAAACACATCACAATAATACACAAGCAATCCATCCAATAATGTCTTGTGAAGTTCCTCTATATATAATAGAGTCCTCTATAAATAATATTTTCTCTAGTTGTTTCGCCTGAATCAGGAGAGAAATATACATAAATCAAGCACCATTTTCAACAGTCCAAAACAGTTCTAAACAAATATGTCTGTGGATTTTGATGTGAAAAGACAACAGGGAATGAACTTTTTCATTGGGGGAAGTGTTATTATGAATTATGAATATTTTGGACAGAAGTGATGATTTAAAGTTAAAATACCTTAATGATGGATTTGTTTCTTACAAACATTCAGCTTTTTTCTTCACAAGACATTAACTGATGGACCGGAGTTGTGTGGATTAGTGTATTATTGTGATGTGTTTATCAGCTGTTTGGACTCTCATTCTGACGGCACCCATTCACTGCAGAGGATCCATTGGTGAGCAAGTGATGTAATGCTACATTTCTCCAAATCTGTTCCAATGAGGAAACAATCTAACAATCATCTAAATCTTGGATGGCATGAGCATGAGTAAATTATCAGCAAATTTTCATTTTTGGGTGAACTATTCCTTTAAACATGCATTTTGCATTTGCTCTGTATCTAATAAAAATAAAAATGCATACATGATCTAACAATGTGTTTTCATTTTCCCTCTCATGCTCGAAGAACTTGTCCAGGCCGTGGGCTTTAAAAATACGCTCAGATTCATCAGAAAAAAGAACAGCGTCACCATCAAATGCCACTCTCAGCTGGGTCTCGGACACCTCAATTTGTTTTTCTGACATAAACATGGTGGCTGCTGCAATCCCTGTAAGAAAACACAAAGAAAAAGATAAAGCTCACCAGCCTAAAGGAAAAAGCTGTGTGATGAATGACATTTAAAGGGTGTTCTTTAAAGACATTAGGACAGGACCCATTAGGCCTCAGTAAAACAAATAGGTCATTGGATTGTTAAATCGATGTGGAGTTCAATGCTTTCCCCCACTTCAGTTAGTTTTATTTAGCTTACTCACTATATGCAAGTTATTTATGCAATAATTAATATGATGACTGTAATATGTGAACAAAGCGATAGACAGTATGGTGCTCATGTGCTCAAAGGATCTTTAAATGGCAAACTGCAAAAGCAATTCCTTTGGAGTCACTATGACCAATAAGTAATTTAGCACTTTTCATAATTCACAATCATTGACAGGTTACCTCTTAATATACCACAAGTCTAATGTTTGTAAATCACCTGTTCATGATAAACTGGTTTCTTGGTAAGTTCACTTCATATGGTTTTGCTATACTGTGTTGTGACAATGAGACTGCACACCAATTCTGCATCATATACTATAACTTTTACTCACCATTTCTGAATCCAATTTGATAAAAAAAAAACTTTTTACGCAACAATATTTAGCCAGAAAGAGTCCATGAATATTGTATTTATTAACATAACATCAAAGGTCTCTTGTAAGCTCTTTGTGCACTGCTTGTTGCACAAAAATGTTTTATTCAATTTATTAAAAACATTTATTCTTTGATTTACTGAATGTAACTGTGCTACAAGATGAAGTACTAGGCAGTTGCATGTGTTATCTCATATTTACTGTGTCCTAACCTTCAGCGAGGGCTTCCTGAACCTTTTCAGTATCGGCAGACAAATACAAGTTTGTATGCCATGCTTTCAGGTACCCAATGGGGCTGCTACCGCCTGTCATGCAGAACCGCTCAATGAATAGATCTGGGGATGAGAGAAGAATATTAAAGAGCAATTTACATTTCATGAGAGCCAGATATTATTACATTTACATTTATGCATTTGGCAGACCCTTTTATCCAAACAACTTACATTGCATTCAAGCTATTATTACACATTTAATCAGTTATTACCATAGCCAGCACCCAGTCTAATGCTTTTTTGGCTGTTTTTATTTAGAATACACTCTCAGGAAAAAAGTACAAAAGCTGTCGCTGAGGCAGTACCCTTTCAAAAGGTACCCATAAAGAGGTACCTTAAAGGTACATGTTAGTACTTTTTGAAAGGGTATGTACATATGATCAAAAAAGTGTATATTGATCAGTAAATGTGGCTGATTTGGCAATCTATGGTTTATAGTGACACCTAGTGGTTTGGATGCAGTATATAAAAACAAAACTTTTCAGTTATCAGTGCCACTGTAGAAATGCTCTATTAGCTGTCAGCCATGAGTAATTTATTTACTGAGATAAAGCAAATATTATTCAGCTGGTCATGTGATCCCAAAATGGCCGTTCTTATTTCCATGTAAAAAACAGCTGTTTTGAATCTTTCTCTCACATGGGTATACATTTACATACATTTATCAAAAGTAGTATTAGCTGTAGCTTTATCTGTAAAACCCTTTTTAATGAGGGGAAAATGTCGTTAGAAATAAAGGAGGTTTTCCTTAAGTTATTTAAACAGTCAGTGTTTAAAGGGTCACTGTTCTCAATTAGACGATTTCACTATTTCGACACCTCATTTATGAACTGTTTAACAGATGGAAATCTTAGACTGGTGGGAAATGTTGGGGTAATGTGCTTCTTTTAGCCTTTGACACATTAGTGCATGGGTGCCAGCTCAGTAAGACATCAGCAGCAGGTTTGATTTACATGACATGTCAAGCTAAGTTTCCCAGGAGTAAAGGATAAGGTACAGTCAGCTGATCATTATCGCAAAATGAACCCCCATCAGCATCCTGGTGTAGAGTGGTGGACGCTTGTATCATCCTGAAGGTGTTTATTTTGAGATAATGATAATAATTTTGCAATAACGCTACATTATTACACTTATAAGACTACTTAGCAAATAAGTGAATACATGATTTATTGATTTATTTTATCATTTAAAAAATGAAACTGCTGAGTGCAGTAGGAGACATGAAACTAGCACCAAATAGGAGACTGGATGACAGGAACAGTGTAAAATATACAGTTTAGCCTTGTTATACAAAAATATGTGACCTGTGACCAGAGGATGCTGTGACTGACCAATTAGAATCAAGTATTGCTGAGAGCCAATAAATAAATAGATATATGCAGTTCAGAGATGTAAAAAATAAATACCTGTGACATCAAAGAAAGCAGGAGAAAAAATCATTTTCATATTATCAATTGCTATTTCTAAATAATTACACTATGTTTTAATAAAGTATGAATATGAAATAATAGTGATGCGAATGCATCTACAAGCTAATGGGGTTAATGTTCCCCAGTGAGATAAGCACAGAAACATGAGATACATTTTCAACACTCTTGATATTTTAGATCAAATAATCCTTTGTGTGATCTGATTGGCTCTTGTTTCAAAGCCCAAAATAATTATTGGGAATTAGATGAAAGAAAAATATATAGGCCCATTCTTGTTGTATTCTTTTGTACGATTTTTGCTTTTTTTTTCTTGCTGTGATGGGCTTTTGGAACTATTACAGCATTAGACTCACGTTTATCATCTAACAAACATCTAGCATATTTCATGGTTCAGGACACAAAGTTCTGACTTCAAATGCTTCTTGAAACATCAGTTCATATCCGCACATTTGTTGTTTTGTCCAAAGAGAGGCCAAAGGATGGAGAGATGTTTATTTTTTATTCAGTCAGCCACCGGAACGATCAAAACCAGTCCAGCTGGGGCGCTGCAGGGAACTGAGCAGGAAGTGGCTGGTTTGTGATACAAAGGTTAGAGGTGTCACATGCATCTCTGTGGGAAGATATGATTGGCCAGCTGGAGATTTATCTTCTAAGAAAACATTTGCATTTACAGTTTTGTGTCCTCAGAATCCTGTCATTACTTTGTATCCCATGCCTTTGACTTGTTGATTAATAATATAGCATAGCAGTCTACATTTTACTGTTTTATTGTTTATGATTTAATGCTGAGCTACCTTTATTCACATTTTACTGCCTTATATCAAAACGCATGTAATTTTCTAAAATGAATAATCGTCATTTACTTACCTTCATGATCTTCTGTGAAACACAAAAGAAGATATTTTGAAGATTGTTGTTAACCAAATCTTTTTAGTCTTTTATGTTCCACAGAAGAATGAAAGTCATACAGGTTTGGAATGACATGAAAATGAGTAAATGATGACAGTTTTCATTTTTGGGTGAACTATCCCTTTAATAATTATCATTCTTTGTCAACATTGATCACCCAAGGATAGCATCGTGTTTACAAGAATGGACCTTTCTGACCATGTACATCTTTATGGAAAGTATAAATCCAGATTACTGGAAGGTCAGCAATATACTTACTGTGGTAGTTGATGGTGTTGATGAGTCTGATGCCTACATGAGCATGGTTGTAGGTTACTAGCACAATGTCAAAAAGCTCCTCGCTATCTGGATAGAGCTTCCGCAACTGGCTATTTACTGCTTCCAGTGCCTGAGAAAACACACAAAATAATGTGTCTAATCAAATGAAGCTATATTGTAGGCAGTTGATTACGGGGTGAGCAGTCAATACTATTAAAGGAATAGTTCACCCAAAAATCTAAATTTGCTGAAAATGTACTTACCCTCAGGCCATCCAAGATGTAGATGAGTTTGTTTGTTCATCAGAAAAGATTTGGAGAAATTTAGCATTACATCACTTGCATAGCAAGAGAAAGAGAGTCCAAACAGCTGACAAAAACATCACAATAATTCACAAGTAATCAAGTGTACAAGCTTTGGGTTTGTAATAAACAAAATTCATCATTAAGGTTTTTTTTTTACTTCAAACCATTGATTCTGCCTAAAATCAGTCATCTTGTCTGAATCAGGAGATAAATATGCACCAATCAAGCATACAAGCGACAACAGCTCAAAGCCATTCTAAACAAATATGTGGATTTTGATGTGAGAGGACAACAGGGGATGGACTTTTTGCACTGTTTTTGAAGTGTTATTATGGATTATGGACTCATATTTTGGCCAGAAGTGACTGTTTAAAGTTAAAGCATCTTAATGATGGATTTGTTTCTTACAAACATGCAGCTTTTCACTTCACAAGATGTTAACTGATTAATTGGACTGGAGTGGATTACTTGTGGATTATTGTGATTATTTATCATTTGTTTGAACTCATCTGACGGCACCCATTCACTGCAGAGGATCCATTGGTGAGCAAGTGATGTAATGCTACATTTCTCCAAATCTGTTCCGATGAGGAAACAAACTCATCTACATCTTGGATGGACTGAGGGTAAATTTTCAGCAAATTTTCATTTTTGGATGAACTATTCCTTTAAGGCAATGCTCTAGTATTTGTTTAAAAAAATAACTTATAACTTGATAATGCATTGTATTTTTCAGTCTTCAAATATCATTGTGCATTATTACCTTAACAAATGGGAATGCTGGGCCAGGAGCAAAGGGCTCATTTTCGTGCTCCACCTGATACCTGAGGTACTCCTCTATTCCCTTCTGCTCAAACACCTTCTGCTCTTTCTCTGTGCGGAACAGAACCCTCGACGACACAGCAATGGTGACCGCGTTCTCTGGTTTGGGCTGAATAGGGATAGTGAAAGATCTATGAGGCATTCATCACCAATTTTGAGCATATAACAGACAAGTACAGAGTACCTGGTTCCTGGTTGGCATGTGCACTGATTTCATAAAAGTGGCCTGTATGACTTATTCGCTAAAGTTTTCTGAAGTCACATGATAGCTCCATGTGACAAATAGACTGAAATGTAAACTTCCAAATAATAATCTTCCTCTCCACTATAACTCTCAAATTCCATTTGTGTGATCTGAATATGCTCATTTAAATCTTGCATATTGCAATGCAATATAAGAATATGGTTATTTTAGTATTATTTATATACTATTAGTACTTTAATAATTTTAGTATTTAAATTTAAAATTTTCATTTACGTTTTTTCAAGTTTGTTTTTCATCTAATATTTTGTTTGTTTGTTTGAGCTTTATTTCAATTAACAAAAAATATTTTTTATAGTTTTACTGGTTTTTAATATTTTTATTGGTGAACAATAACAACACTGTTCAATATAAGAACCAATAACATTTGGCATCATTGATTTCAAACCTGACAAAACATATTAAAAGTTCAAACTGTAGAATGAAAGTTCTGTCATCATTAACTCAACTTCCTCTTTTTGTTTGGGTGAACAATCCCTTTAATGCACCACATGTGAATATATATATATATATATATATATACATGATATGCACACATGAAAGGAGAAATTATTAAATAACAATGTCACTAGGGTTTGGCATGACTTCAGATGGCATAAATATAGCCCAGAAGTCATATTGACCACTTGTTATAAAATTATGACAATTATTGCCATTTTTGGGTGAACTATCCCTTTAAAAAGAGCTGGCAAGATTGAAATTTTGTGGAGTGCATAAAGCAGTTGAAAGAACAATATGAAATGCAATAGTCATCCACACACAGCAAGCAATCATGCGACATTACAGATTATCTCTTTAGGTGAGAATTAAGGCAAGAATAGCATGATTAATGAAAAGGATCTCTGGTTTAAGAGTAGATCGGACAGGACCGGATAATTTGAGATTATCATCACAATAGCTCTATTCCCAAATTTGATTATTCAGTCAATATTTCATATGCTGCCACACAGACCAATGAGAGTGATCCAGTGATCAAACTAAAATTAATTTCCAAGTAAAGTTTCATACATGCTGGTGATGTATCAGGTGGTGTAGTTGGTAATGTGATTCCCAGGAGCAGAGCATAAAACATGTACAGTGCTTATGAGTCACATGGCCACACATCAGCTGGCTGATGGCTGCTCAATATGTCACAGGAAACCACCAGGAAGAGCAGGGCTAGTTAATTTTGGAAAGGGGCTACCGCATGACGCAGCCAGACCACTGTGCGTGCTGTTCAACACGCCCTCAACCGGGCGACAACCCTCCAGCCCCTGGAGTAACCCCTCCAGGTGTACTGCCTGGGGGGTTATGGGAAAAGGACAAGCTTGTGTAAATTGACCTGTGATGAGTTAAAAGTCTCTCTCCCCAAAGAACCGAGACCGATTCGCCATTCCAGATGAGCCGTGTCGCATCTCTCGCTCATGCTAGGAGATCCTGAGAGATTTGATCAGGACTGGAACATTTTTTGATGATAAGGTTAGGTATTTCAGGTGGTTGTGGAAATGAGACATTACCAGGAAATGAGAGTGGATAAGCTGTTGGGGCAGTGGGGCCAGAATTTAACTATTCAGCACATTGATAGAGGGAACATTTACTCTAAAAGCCCTTTAAGTGAACATTGACCTGCTGTTTAGTATCTCTCTTAATTGTTTAAATTGCAACTTTGGTGCCCACTTACCAGCTATAAGTGATATTTTACCTGCAGATATTAGAGTTTTCTGAATCAAACAGAAACATAAAGGCAAAACACAGAGAAACAAATGAGTTAATGTTATGTGGAAAAAGTTGAGAATATGCAAACAATTAGGGTGTTTTAGGGGAAAAAAATTTGTTTAAAAAAAGTAATTAAAGAAAAAAAGAAAAGAAAGGAAAGAGTCTGACGTGTCCTAAAGACCAGTGGTTCGCAAACAGGGCCTGGGGCCACTAGGCCAAAAAAAATAATAATAATTATATGTGAGAACTTTAAAAGTGTGATTTCTGGGCCTGGAAAAGTCATAGAACTTGTTAAAATCTTTTAAAAAATAAAATAAAATTAAATTATAGAAGTACCAGAAATACCTTGGGAGGTCTTCGAATATTGTCTTTGACAAGTGGGGCCATGAAATCCAAAAAGTTTAGAACCGCTACTATAGACCATGTTTTAGTGAAAAATAATATATTGCATTTTTTTTTCAAACGTTTATATTCAAATTTGTATTCTGCATTATAAGTCACTAAACAAATTCGTAAATTTGGGAAATTCATGTTAATGTTTCTGATTGCATAAGTATATAATTTCTATAATTATATACTGTACATTTATATGTGTGCATGCGCGCGTGTGTGTGATAAGAAATGCATTAAAAATGATTTTCACTTCACTCTTAGTCTTAGATTTTTAGACACCACTGTGTGTGATATTATGGTTATACTACTTATTCTACTTTTTCATTCTAACATTTTCTGTCTTTCATGTGTGGTCAATCACAAGAAATCACAATTTTTAATGCATACAGCAAAAAATGTTGAATGCATTGCACAGGCACATCAAAACTTAAAGGTATACATCTCTTGCCTTTAGTTAAACCCCACTGCCAGACACACTAATATATCTACTGAAAAACAAGGATTTTGAAATGAATTTTCTTTGCACCCAGTAATGTGATTTAAAAAACCTGTCAAATGTACTAAAAGCACCATCAAACTGAGCTCTTAAAATGCATTAACATGTTTATTTGCGTAAGTCCATATTGTGGGTCAAAAGGTCATGCGTTTAGTAGAGCAAAGCAGACCAGATTGTTAATGAGACGGCAGAGATGAAAATCTGCATGACCCTTTGAAAATACTTACAAAGAATATGCCTCCCTCCACCTTCCTGGCCCGTCTCACAGGTCCCTTCATAAAATAAAATTTCATATCAACCTCCACGTCACAGGTTTACAGATTTGCCCGTGATGTAATGCATATCACAATATATTTATTTTCTGAATGGATGAGATTGTCATGAAATAAATAGGAAAACACCGGTGGAAAGCGAATACAACAGACGAGCCTTGTTGAGAAACGAACCACCAAACAATCCTATCATAGTGACCAACAACAATATTGGAAAATTTGCTTCTGATTCAGTAAATAACACTGTATTTCACTAAGAATCATGGGTAAGTGATATTCTGATGTTCTTATAGAGGGGTTTAGCTCTCCTGTGGGGATGTGTTATATAAACCGTGTGCTTGAAAAAGCTTGCTCAGTAGCATGCAGTGTTATTCATGGTTCAAACTCTCGATTTAGAGACACTTCTTACTGTCACAGATACAGTTACAGACACCACGGAGGGTTCAAGATTGAGTTTTAGTAGCAGCTCATCTCAGGAAATCATCTCCCGGTAAATAAACGAAGTAAACTCTGTGTTTTCTTTTCCTTTGACCAAGCAGAAACTGAAACTCCAGCTCTGCTCCTTTACACTGTGGTTACTCCTTCAAAATATGAAGTGGGTATAGAAAGTTACCATCCCTCTTCAAAAATGTTGTTTTGTTGTCTCATAAAATAGGAGCAATTGTCCATTTGTATTTGGAAACTTTCACAATAAAGACCAGTTGATAGAAAACTGAACATTACTACAGTTTAAAACAACTGTTTTCTATAATAATTCACAGCATCATTACTCCAGTCTTCAGTGTCACTTGATCCTTCAGAAATCATTCTAATATGCTGATTTGCTGCTCAGGAAATATTTCTTATTATTATTTATTCAATGTTTATTCAAGATTATTTTATTTAATCTATGTATTTAATAGAAAGTTCAAAAGAATAAAATATATTTGAATGAATAAGATTTTTTACCTAACAATGTAAAAGTCTTTACTGTCACTTTTGATCAAATTAATGCATCCTTGCTGAATAAAAGTATGAATTTCTTTCAGAAAGGAAACATCTTACTGACTCCACACTTTTGAATAGTAGTGTCTGTTTTACAACATTTATTACTTAACCAAATAAATGTAAATATTTAAATGTATATGTTTGTATATTATCATTTATATGTAGCTAATTCAGGTTCCCATAGACAACTTGACAACTAGTGTATATGCAGTAAATGAGCTGTAATGCCTCTCTGGTCAATATTGCTGAAAATATTCAATTGCTTTTTTGTATTCAAGACTATAAGGTATGTGTCTGTACAAAAAAAAAATCACCCACTCATATAAGATATTTTACTTGGCTAATGTGTGTTCATACAGGTCAAAGTGTATGGGCTGGTGACTATCTATACCCACTAACTAGGTGAACTACTAGACAATGCTGGGAACAGGAACCAGGAATCACTTCTGGGTCAGTCAGGGGCAAGCCGTGCAAGTGTTGGAAACGGGAGAATACAAGAGTATAACAAAGAGGAGAACGGCATTGCAGGTTATTAATAGGTCTGGAAAAGGCCAGTGATGCTTAGAGTGTGTATAGAGCTAAAGGCTATGGCAGAGAAGGGAATTATCCACATGGTGTTGACCAGCTGCCTGTTGCACACACTGAGCTGATTTTATGTCTGTTAAAATGACTGTGCCATCCAAAGTGTATTTAATAAGACGTGTAAAGTTCTCTAAGATACAAAACAAATGCACTAGGCCAGACAAAATCTCTTATTATAAAGCTCTGCCCTTGGAGGCAATGTCACTATTTTATTCGCCACAACATATGACATATGGCATTTCGATATCTTTACGGTGGTGTTAGCAGAGTCTAAATAAGCAGTGGACGACTTAAAATGAGCTGGACCTGCTGTACCTCTGATGGCATTATCTCCTTACATTAGTACTGTTACCTAATAGTGCTATCACCCCCCCTCCTGTCCCATTAAACCTGTTCTGTTTCTGTTTTACAAACACAGACACCACAGCAGGCATCACAACATAAAAGGCTATGCTCCTCTTTATGTTTTTGTAATTATATTTCATGTAATTATGCTGTTCTGACAAGCTACAGGTCACTATGAGGGGAAAGTGACTGGAAATGCGTCTGGAAAACTGACTGCTTTAAAAGTGGGCGCTGAAATACGTGCACTAATGTATGTACACACTTCACGCACTAAATAGCCAGCAAAAGTGTGACCTCACCAGAAAAAGGACAGAAGCGATAGGAAAAATCACATCACAATTAATGTTGTAGAGTTATCTATGCAAATATGATGCACAAACTGAATGTGAAACACTGAAATCACAAATGGGACACTTACTGGTTTGGGCTTCTTTGTAGAACCCACATTTTCATGGATATCCTTGTTGTCGTCCCAGGATGCTTTGCTATCACCGTTTGAAGCTGACGGGCAGGTTTTGGGCAAGGGGTCTTGCCCCTTCATGACCTGAACAGGGTCAAGACTCATTCTCCCCAACTCTTCTCATTAACGACACACTTATCCAGGGCTGTATCACGCTGTGCTGTTCTCTCTGTATACATGTACAGCCTCTCTTCCACACACAGTGTATGTCTCCAGCTTTAGGTAGCACGGTACAGCTGGTATCCAATGCTATACTCCTGATTCAGTGTCTAATGATAGTGCTGGCTTTGGTTCTATGCGGCTATATCCTCTCTGCTCTGACGCTGTGCCTGCAATCTACTACTGTGATGTGGTATGTGTTCATATCTGGCCCCTTCTCTCTTTCTTTCCCTCCCTTCCTACTCATCCCTCACTCATGCACATGACACCTTCCTCCCTTTCCCTCTATTCCCTGCTCTAATCTATCTGCATGTGCTCTCCCTCTCTCAAAATATAATATTCTGATTGGATCAGCATCTTGCAGCCAATGAATAACGGGCTTCCCTGACAGCTGTTCTTACTGGTCCATCCCCACAGACACATACAGACAGACAGACAGACAGACAGACAGACAGACAGATAGACAGATAGACAGATAGATAGATAGATAGATAGATAGATAGATAGACTGCTCTGTTTTTTCTCCTCGCTATCCCCTTAATGCCATTGTAATGGGGTGAAACAGCCCATTACCCAATGATCAGTTGCTAGGCAGCACTTCGACCCAATGCAAAATCTCGCCAGGGATTGGCTGTTTAGTTGGAGCCCTGACAGTAGCCCTGGGGCCAGGAGTGACAAACTGTCCACACTGTCCAGTGGTAGGCTGCCTTCTTCTGGGTGAAGAAAGAAATATATTCTCATTCTCAAGGATTCCACAATAGCAGTTTAAGTATGACATCTAGACATTCAGCATTGCAGTGTAATATTGCTTTTATATAATATTAGGTAATGTAAGTTTTGGCTAGTTAGTCTGTATATTTCCTACAAGTTTTGTGTGTCACCAAGCAACTCGCAGACAGAAAGCTAGTCTGGCACAGCATATTAGTGGTGCGGAGATAGATTTCCCCTTCCCATTCAAAGTGCTGTGTAATCATTCATGTACAGAATCACTCTGGGCTTTCCATTTCCCAATTTAGGGGACAAACCAACTCTAGGCAAATTCTGCTCCTCGCTCTCTATGTACCGCTTCTGGTTTGTGAACAAGTGGAGTGATAAGTGAAATGGCCCAGTGTTGTAGGCTACTCTGAAACACTGCTCTGCCAATCATAGCAAAGAACTGGAAGTAACTAATTGTACTAACTGAACACTATTATATGTTTGAATCTGCCTACTCCAGCCACATTTCTCCCCATAGGAACAAGCGAAGAGGAGACTCGTGTTTTATATGTTTTAAATGTTTTATATGTTTTAATTATAGTCATGCTTTATAAATATGATATGAAACTAAATGAAATCCACTGAACCTCTCAAAGTGGCTTTTGAATCGATTCATGATGTTAATGCAGATGTACGATTTATTTTCTGCTTAAACACTGTAAATGAGAGTCTTCATTATTGCACCCTCACTGAGAATATATATAGTATATTTAGTACTATATATATATATATATATATCGTAGGACTTTTATTTTGAAGTGCCGTTTGTCGTGGAAAATCCCACACGTCAGCTAGCTTTACATCGTATCTTATCAAGACTAAGAATCGGACATACAGCATTAAACTATAGTCTTTATAAAATAGGTAAGCATGAATCGGGAAAGTGTGACAAATGTGGAGAATTAGAAACAGTGAAACATATTATTGTTGAGTGTTCTGCATATGAAAGGGAGAGATTTCAATTAATTCAAGAATTAGGATGGCTGGGAGTTGATAATATTTCTTTAAAAGTATTGTTAGGAAATGGGTCGAGGCAATCAAGAGTGCAAGAAAATATGTTTAAATACCTGAAAAACACAGGAACAATAGATAGAATATCGTTTTTTTTTTTTCCTTTTCTGTATTTCTTTCTTCCAAATCTATGCACACTCCACACTCCAGATCAGTAGGTGGCGGTAATGCACCTCTTTCGCTGGTTTGCCAAACCGCCATAAAACACCAGAAGAAGAAGAAGAAGAAGAAGACGCTTTACATCGTTGTTAGCGGCGGCACGGAAAGACAGATAGTGCTTCCTGAAAGCCCAAACAAAACATGCGTTATTGCCTGAATCCTTAATTTTTGAGCAAACAAAGTGTTTGAAATTAATCGGAAATTACCTGTTCATTAGAATAACAAAAAATGGAGCATTCGGTGCCCAAAAAGTAAGTGAAAAGATCAGCTCGGCTAACCAGCTATCAGTCAGGCTAATATTTACAGGCCTCGTCTTACTTACCAAAATGAAACTGCAGATCAGTCAACGAATTAGAATAGATTTTTGGGTTAATATCTTAATGTTCGTAATTAACTATCTACAAGACCAGTTGTTGTTATTTTTATTGGTGTATATATAAGTTTAGGTCACATTTTAACTTCTGCTGTCTGGAACCATGGCGTTGTATGCGTTAAATAAACTACGATTGTGTTTATTCATGACAGTAAGCTGAAGAAACTCAGTGAAGACAGTCTTACCAAACAGCCAGAGGAAGTGTTTGATGTCCTTGAAAAGCTTGGAGAAGGGTGTGTATTAACAGTATACTTAAGTGATGTTGAATGGATAAATCTTGAATAAGAATTTCACACAATGAATGCTTTTTGGTTCAGATCATATGGCAGTGTTTTTAAAGCCATTCACAAGGAATCAGGCCAGGTTGTGGCCATTAAACAGGTTCCTGTCGAATCAGACCTGCAGGAGATCATCAAAGAGATCTCCATAATGCAGCAATGTGACAGGTAAAACAGCCCATTCATGAATAATAAGTAACATTTTATTAATAAAATTATTGGCCCTATATGAAACATTTCCCAACACTGCAATTTTTTTAACAGTCCTTATGTAGTGAAGTACTATGGCAGCTATTTCAAGAACACAGATCTGTGGATTGTGATGGAGTACTGTGGCGCTGGATCTGTGTCTGATATCATCAGACTGCGCAACAAAACGGTAAATAAAAATACAACTATAAATTCACTATACAGCTTCAACACATGGTTAATTACACAATTTTTTTTTCTCTTGGCAAGCTCACCGAGGATGAGATCGCCACAGTCCTCAAATCCACCTTGAAAGGTCTGGAGTATCTCCATTTCATGAGGAAAATCCACAGGGACATCAAAGCAGGGAATATTCTCCTCAACACAGAAGGCCATGCTAAACTAGCTGATTTCGGAGTGGCTGGACAACTTACTGTGAGTGTTAAAACTATCTGGTTTAATGTAGGGATGCTCCGATCCGCCTTTTTCTCCTCCGATACCGATTCCGATACCTAGGGTTCGGTATTGACTGATACCGATCCGATACCAGTGAAGTTTTTTTCCCTCATTTAAATAAATGTAGAATTTATATATCTCTGTGTGTGGAACTGATAATCATTCTTTCACAATCTACTAGATACAGACTCATTAAACTCCGGCAAGAAGATAAAAGTCCTTTTTGCAAAATCATAAACCTGTATTTACAAATCAAGTATAATGGGAACAAAGAATGATCGTGGAGAGAGATTTACCGAACTGACTGCTGTAACCGAACGCGACCAGGGTTTAAAGGCTGAACGAATGACTGACAGCTCCAGCGGAGAAAAGAGTTTGTGTGAACTTTAATGTAAAGACTTAAATATTCATATGTAGCTCACATTAAGCTATCGTATGGCTTCAGAAGTAACACAGAATAATTCGCACAGCTCTCTCTGACCGATACCCGATTCGAGAAAAATGGCACTATCGGAGCCGATACCCGATATGAATATCGGATCGGCGCATCCCTAGTTTAATGTAGAACTTGCAGTAACTACTAGTTAAAGGTTTGAACATTACTCAACATTTTTATTAAAAGTTTCCATATTTTAGAATAATAGTAAAGTCATTCAAATATAAAACATCCAGAACTTTTTGCTTGTTTGTCTGTTTTTTTTTCATTATTTGTTGAATAATAAAAAAAACAATAAAAATTATTAAAGTGTAATTCCATAGCTTTGAAATTATATGTATTGTGAAAAGTACATAAATTGAACATGGAAGTGTGGGAATTTTATTGTTTTAAACAAATAAATGTAGTATTTTTAGCTTCTTCAAAAAACGCCTCACTTTTTCTTTATTATTGAGTCCAAATTATCCATTTAAAAAATTACATTTTCGTTTTGTAAAAACACAAATAATAATATATAAATTATTTATATATCATTTACATAAAATGTATAAGCATTTAAGTGTAAGCATCCAAATCCAATTTCTCTCAGCCATGATCATATAAGATCAATTTCGGTCAAGTATATCCAAACTGGTCGTGTATATCATGTTTCAACGAACTAATCGTGTTTTTTTTATAATGACCACAAAAGGACACAATGGCGAAGAGAAACACCGTTATAGGAACACCCTTCTGGATGGCCCCTGAAGTAATCCAGGAGATCGGCTACAACTGCGTGGCAGATATCTGGTCTCTCGGCATCACATCCATAGAAATGGCCGAAGGAAAGCCTCCTTATGCAGACATTCATCCAATGAGAGTGAGTGGAACAAGTCCTTGATGCGCAATTTTGACAAGAAACTGGTTGGTGATGGTGTCTTGTTTTGTCTCTTTGTGTCATCAGGCTATTTTTATGATCCCCACAAACCCTCCACCCACTTTCCGCAAGCCAGAGCTGTGGAGTGACGAATTCACAGATTTTGTGAAGAAATGTCTGGTGAAGAACCCAGAGCAGAGAGCGACAGCCACTCAACTGCTGCAGGTATAGGAAGAGCCAAAAATATTGCTAACTACTAGTTCCTGTCTCTGATTCATACAGTTATTTATTCATTCTCTATTTTATTTTATTTTTATTTTTTTCCATCCAAGTCGTGAAAATAAACATCTGGTATGCTTTTCATTGTCTATTCTGCAGCATCCATTTATAATCAGTGCTAAGCCGGTGACCATCCTGCGAGACCTGATCACAGAGGCCATGGAGATGAAGGCCAAGAGACAACAGGAGCAGCAGAGAGAGCTGGAGGAGGATGACGAGAACTCTGTGAGATAATTCACCAACGTTGCATATTAGTTGTACAGTGTGTGTTTTAGCTGATGTCGTATGTGACTGAATTGTGCAGGACGAGGAAGTGGAAGTGGATTCCCACACCATGGTGAAGTCTAGTTCAGAGAGCGCTGGCACCATGAGAGCCACCGGCACTATGAGCGACGGTGCTCAGACCATGATCGAGCATGGCGGCACCATGCTGGAGTCTGACCTGGGAACCATGGTGATCAACAGCGATGATGAAGATGAGGAAGATCTCGGCTCGATGAGGAGTGAGCATTTATGTCTTTTTCTTTACATTAACACTTTTGTGCTGCTTTGAGAAATGTTTAATCTGATGTGTTTTCCTCTAAATAGGAAATCCTACATCTCAGCAAATTCAGCGTCCATCCTTCATGGACTACTTTGACAAACAAGACTCAAATAAAGCACAAGAGGGTTACAATCACAACCAACAGGACCCGTGCTTAATTTCCAAGACCGCTTTTCCTGATAATTGGAAAGTTCCGCAAGATGGAGATTTTGATTTTGTAAGTGCTCTTATGGCGTTCTTTTGATTCGTTGTTTATGCATTAAGCTGAATTAAATGATTCACTGTTTTTTTTCGGTCTGTGAAGCTGAAAAACCTTGATTTTGAGGAGCTCCAGATGCGCCTTTCTGCTCTGGACCCCATGATGGAGCGAGAGATTGAAGATCTGCGGCAGCGCTACACGGCCAAGAGGCAACCCATTCTTGATGCCATGGATGCGAAGAAACGCCGGCAGCAGAACTTCTAACCGACTTCACAGATGCTGAAGCTTCAAAGCTGGCTGGCCAGATCTTATGTCCCCTCCTATGTTCAATCTTTGTACTGATGCATCTTATTCTAGACTCCTGCTATTTGTACATTTGAAGGTCCCAGTGGATGTATAAAACATAAAATTACTATTTTCTTTTTTCTTTTTGAATTCAAATTCACAATATTAAGAGTTCATTCTAAACTGAACAAATTATTCACAATCTTAACCAGTCTCACCCTATATTATGAAGTTTAGGCTTTTCTCTAGCTTTCAAAATCAAATTCAGCCATCTCTATATCTGTGGTTTATACTTTCTTAATACTATATATGAATCCAAGGCAAAAATTACTCTGAAAATGTGAAGTTTTCTGGCTGAATTCATAAGAAATGCTGGTTGGACTTCTGCAAAGTCATTTTTTAGGTGTAAATGGATTACTAAACCAAAGACAATCAAAAGTAGAGAATGCCTTCGAGCGCTTGATAACCCTCTGAAGTTTGCATCACCAAGCTATATGTTAGTATTCTGCTAATATGGGACCATGTTACAGTAGAGATGCCACAGTTTTGTTTGTCATCTTTACTGGTATTAATTTAGAGAGAAACGAGACCATTCCTGCAGCTATGCTTCCAATCCCATCAAAATTCCTCGTCAGCACAAAGTAGGGTTTGAAACATCTGTCCACAGCTTTGTAAATATGCATGGCTTATTTATGTTGAATGTCACTTTCTCGGTTTCTGAATGTTTCTGTGTGACGTCTTCCCTATGTTCTCTTCACTGCCACTGGCTTCTTGATAACTTGTGGCAAATATTTGTGTGAGGAAGTGAAAACTTTATCTCAGGGGTTGCTCGGCTTTGAACTGTCTCTCTTTCTTCTGGTCTTTTTGGTCATTTCAATGCAGTGATTTTGTGTTTCTCATTATGGTAATGGTACCATCATTACTAGGCCTATTGAGTCTCTCCATACCTACCAAGAGCAATACAGCAACTCAAGGACATAGTAATGTAACAATGCCAGTAATGTGAATGACCTAAACCAGTTGCTGAATCTTTTCAGAGAAGGATGAGTTGTTTTAAATAGACATTAAAATGACTCTCGCAATGTGTATGCCCTGATTGTGGACTGATGAAGTCTATAAATCTGAGTTGGTTTGAAGTATAGTCTGCTAATGATTTTTCTTTTTTTACAAAAGCTTATTCATAAAATAGTTAGGAACATTACAATGCCTTACATTACCTGCAGTTGTGAGTTATATCAGTTTTATTTCATACTCTGACATTTATATAGGCACATTTTTACTGAACACTCTAATTTATTGTGTATTATTCATAATGTATGTTATTTTTTTGCACTCTGCCTAGAGTTTTTGAATAAAGGTCTGTTACTTGTCTCCTTGAACCCTATGTGGACTTATTTACCAACAGTATTTTTTAATATTGTTAAATATATGGGGAACACTGTTAAAACACTATAAAGTACACAGACAAACCTGGAAACAAAAGGAACATTTAAATTGAGTACAACAAAATTAATAAAATGTTCTAGTTTTTCTCAGCTCCAAAATATTTTTTCAATTAGAAATTCGTTTTGAGAGCAAATGCCACTATAATTTCAAAATAACTTTTTTTTTTTTCAGTTGAAAAAGCATTATACTTGTTTTTATACTATACTACAAGCCATTTATTTAAACTATGAACACTTTAAAAACTACAATAATTAAGCTACTATTTATAAAATTACATTTAGGCCTACAAACCATAAAAAAATGAAGATAATTAAATTATTGACTGGTTACTTGAATTACCGTAATCACTCAATTACACAGAGCTCTGCTTTATTCTGCCAAGTGTTAACTACTATATTTATGCACAAAGACCTGAATCAGCTTGTTTAACCGTGTATGCTTTGTCTACCATTTATTTCCTTAATTTTTTCCCCCAAATATAGTTCCATTCTGTGCGACATGTTATTGAATAATCGTAATTACACATTCAATGTCTCTATATGTGGGTCGTTATGGTAGGAATCGCTGACGCCTACTGGAAGTGAGTCCCTACAAACCTGCTTTACACTCATTCATTATTAACTCAACTAGAAGTTTACGGACAGCTGTGCTTCGCGGGTCTCGTTTGGATCTCAGTGTTGAGAGATGTCTGCGGTTATTAGGAAGATCATTCACACTGCAGCTGCTCCAGCCGCCATCGGGCCCTACAGGTGAGAGTCCGTCTGCCGTCAAGTCAAACCATCATGTTTACGCTCCTCAACAAACCCACACGTGACATGCCCTAGCATATGGATAAGTGTGATTTCTACATAAAGCACCACCAGCTATGCATTTAACAGTCAGCATTGACCGGCAAAAGGCCTGACATAGGCTGCAGTGCAATATTCGTTCGGGGCGTGTCTTTAGAAAGCGCACTCAACTTTGTGCTGGAGATTTGGTGCGACTTATTTTTCATATAAGCTGTTTGGACGAGATGAATTCTGTTCAGAGAAAAATCCCATATACACATAAAGCCCCTATTAGACAGGGCATATACAGGTAAGAGTCTTCTCAGTCACTTTAATGTTACAGAACAATAGCATTTAGATTCCAAACTGTTTAAAATTGTAAAACTGGGATTTTATTTTGAATGCATTATAAGAAGATTATTTGTAACGCTCCATAATACCACCGTTTTATAAAAAAGTTTCTCAGTAGCACTGAACTTTAGTAACGCTTTATTTCATTACATGCAAAAAAGACATTTGCAGATTTAAGAGCTTTTTTTCTTTCACAAAATGCACTTGAAAGTGGTTTTGGGGGTGTTAGTGTTTCAACCAATAGACAGTAAGAGGAGGTGTCAAGTTCATTGACTTGACCAGAGGTCAATGTGGTTTGTTCTGCTTAATATGTGGTTATGTTAAAAAATATAAAAATTAAAAAAGGGTGCTTCGGAAAAGTATTTCTGACACTAGATTAATGTCATTTTTTTTGCATATATTCTATATTATAGCCATTTCACCTTATGCTCAGTTGATTACATGATTTAAACCAACATGAATCAATATTGATGAGATTTAATGTATGAGCTGACCTATGATCTTTAATTTCCTTGCAGTTGTGCAAACCTTGTGCTAAAACAACTGGCATTAATGTTTGCATTATGTAACTTACTGAACTTGTCTTGTATTAGACACATATTAACTTGGAATTGGTATTGTCTTGGACTATGATCTCTAGTTGAACTTACACTTGATCTTGGTGGTCTACAATGCTACTGAGTGATATTTTAGTTTATATAATATTCAGTATCCAATTTATGATTAGTAATATCCGAATTTACTGTGCCCAACATTAAATAAAGCAAGAAAACCTGATTGGCTGCTGGGCTAGTTGTAACTGCAGTGCACTGGCTGTGCCAGCAGAAGGCAGAGAAGGACAATATTTCCCACAATGCATTGTAATGTATGAGTACAACATCCTTATTCCTTCCAAAATCAGAGTTCACTATTCATTCACATTTTAAATGATATTGTTCCTACATTCAGCCAGGCTGTTTTGGTGGACCGTACAATGTACATCTCAGGACAGATCGGCATGGATGTTAGTGGACAGTTGGTGGCGGGAGGAGTGCAGGCTCAAGCCAAGCAGGTGACAAAACACATACAGTGGCCCTTAAATAATTGTTGACATTTTGATGAAGATATTTTTCGAATAAATGATTCATTCACAATCATGTATTTGAATTATATTTTAAGTAATTAATATATTAAGTAAATATGGTCAGGTTGGATTTTATGTTGACATTGCTACACAAATTAACAAGTTTTATTACACAAAGTAGTCATTTTCATTAAAAAATCCAATATGGGATACATGTAATTATGTATGTTTCTGTGTTTTTTTTCCCTTACAACTCCATAGGCACTCCTTAACATGGGGGAGATTCTGAAAGCTGCTGAATGTGGATATGAAAATGGTAAATCATCAAGCATCACCCAAAAATGAAAATATGCTTAAAATGTACTCACCCTCAGGCCATCCAGGATGTATGCTGCATTGCAAATGGGAACCCAAAGCAACGGTTTGAAGTTAAAAATGTCTTGATGGATTTATTTCTTACAAACATGCAGCTTTTCACTTCAAAAGACATTAACTGATGGACTGTAGTCGTGGATTACTTGTGGATTATCGTGATGTGTTTATCAGCCATTTGGACTCTCATTCTGACGGCACCCATTCACTGCAGAGGATCTACTGTTGAGCAAGTGATGTAATGCTACATTTCTACATTTTCACATCTTGGATGGCCTGAGCAATTTTTCATTTTTGAGTGAACCATTCCCTTAACATGTCTGTTCCTTCTTACAAATTTTCAAGAATTTTATAATGTGTGCTTTTTTTTTTTTGCAGTTGTCAAAACCACTGTGCTGTTAACAGACATTAATGACTTCAATAACGTCAATGATGTTTACAAGCAGTGTGAGTATTAATAAAGCAGTCACAATGGAATAATTCACCGCAGTGTGTCATATACACATACAACCACAGATTTCCCTTACATTTTTAGTAGCCTTGGTAATGTAGAACACCACATAATTGGGAATGACATTGGTGTCCTTTGTTGTTGGAATTAAAAACAATCATGACATTTGTGTTTCCTGTATATCCACCTTATTTGTCAACGTGGAAGTAAGCCGTCTTCTGTGAATGTGCGAGACTTCCGGTTAATTAGCCGCTGTAGGGAAGTGAAACGGTAAAACTGTTTGCACTACAAACCAGTATGTTCGTAATTAAGATAATACATTAAAATAACAATTAAGACACACTAGTTTGCAATATCAAGCAGCAAAACAAGCTGTTTTGTACAGCTAAAAATAGCTGGAAACAAATGACACCGGAAGCCTCGCACATTAAATTTACAAATGACCACACCCGCTCTTATAGGGAAAATAAGGTGGATACCTTCCCTAAAATTGCTTTACTTCCCATCCTGCACTTTAGTGATAATGCTTTATGCAAGTTATTGATTGTTACACAAATGCCTCTGTGCAACCCTGGGTATTTCCTCTTGAAAACAATGCTGATGGGTAATCCTATCCTGTCTGCGTGTAAAGGGATACAGTGCAGTTCTGTGAAACGAAAGCCTCCTCTATACGAGGACAACCCATCATCACTGCCTCCTACCACACAGAACTTTCCATGATGTGACATGCAAACCTGCAGCATCAACAAATACTCTAAACTGAATTCACGTCATTCTGTCTTTAAAACATATGATGCAATTAATGATACACACAGGGATAAGAGGCTCTTTTTCATGTCACAAGAACTGCAGTAGTCGACTATGTAAGATGAAGATTATATTTTATATAGCGTACAACTTATAGATACAAAGTGTCAATTTCAACTTTACTTGCAGTTTTGTATACATTTGTCACCAGTAAAAAAAACAGAGTTTCCCCAAAGTCTAAAAACATTTTGGTTTCTTTTCTTTTTCTAAGTTTTCAAGAGCAGTTTCCCAGCTAGAGCTGCCTATCAAGTAGCTGCCCTGCCCAGAGTAAGTATTAAACATAGACTAGTTATTGGTGTTTGCTAAGACAACCAGGTAACTACACACTACTCTTCAAAAGTTTGGGGTCAGTAGCTTTAAAAAAACACACACACACATACATTGATGATAATCAGTAATGTAATGAGCACCAAATCAGCATATTAGAATGATTTCTGAAGGATAACGTGACACTGAAGACTGGAATAATGATTACAAAATATCTTAAAATAGAAAACAGTTATTTTAAATTGTAAAAATATTTCACAATGTTACTGTTTTTGATCAAATAAATGCAACCTTGGTGAATATAAGAGACTTCTTTCAAAACATTTCTGAAACAATATCGACCAAAACATTTGAACAGTAGTGTAAGTATTAAACTTTGGCACACAAGCCATCTCACACTGTTTGAGTTAAGGAAATTAACAATACCTCAAATTATATGACTTTTTGAGGAGAGTTGTGCTATTACTTTACTCTACGTGATCAACTTGATATAAAAAGGGAGGGAAATCCCATAAACCTGCTTTGTTTATACCTCATTTGAACTTCACTTTCTGTTTTACAGGGAGGACTTGTTGAGATTGAAGCGGTCGCTGTGTTGGGACCCATCACAGATGCCCCCTGACTATATGACCCCGGCATGCATCACACATTGTAAATACAGTTATATGGAGACAAACCGCATCCCATATTACAAAATCAATCAAACTTTTAACCTCCCAAGTCACCAACAGAAAAAAAAACACTCTTTTTCTGTTGCCCATTTTGCTAATATAAATATGCTATCGAGAGTTCAGTTCAAAGCCCAGTTCAATTCAACTTTATTTTTAGACTTGTCATTATCACATTAATCTGTCATTATCACATTAAATCAAACCACACCACAAAAACAACATTTCTTCCATTTGTTGAGTTCAATCTGTTGTGTTTGTTGCAGGAAAACATTAGCATACAATAAATAAAACCAAAAAGCCTGTTTTTCAAATATTATGTCCTTTGTCATTTTAAATGTATATAACATTTTATTTCAGTTGGTTAAAATATTACATAATTATATAAATAGCATTCCATGATTTTCATATTCTCTTTGGCTTTTTGCATTTTTTATAAAGGGGTAAAGCCACTAAAATAGGCACCAATATTAAATATCGATGAAGGAAATCTCTAGCTAAAGCCAGCAATTATAATTCACTAAACTATAACTAGAGTGGGATGTTTGTATTCTGTGTATACAAAGACAGGCACAGAGTCTCTGAAGACCAGTTGGTCTATATCTTGGCAACGAACAAGCAATATCTATATAATAAATAAACTAATGTTCCACTGTATTTTGAAACCATTCATGTGAATCTTTATTTTATTGAAAATAGGTGGTTGAATCTGGATTCTGTAGTAACTGTGCCAAATGATGCGCACTTAACTATCTTCACCAGAGGCTGAAAGAGATGAAGTGGTATGGGAAATCAGACAAGACATTTATCCTCAGGAGAAGATTTTTAGGTCTGTCTTGCATCATATTACCCTACTTACCAGGCACTTCCTCTGGTGGGGTAGATTTAGCCTGGTCCTTAGTTGTGTTTTCTGTGGAAATAGGGATGCATTTCATTAATTTAGGCTCAATTAATATTATTTTTTTCCCCTTCATAATGGTTAAAGTAGCCAAATAAATTACATCATCATCCAAAAAACTGAGAAATTATAAATTCTCATATATACTATAAATGTATCAGTCGTCCTGTGTGTTTCTCACGTTGGACTTACTAAAACTAATCAAATAAAAAAATGAATATTTAAAATCAGTTGCTGTGTCCAGCAGAGTATTATTTCTTGTTGCATTCTGCTTTGTATTCTGTTCTGTGGTTTGTCATTGTTATTTGACAATGTCAGAGTTTTTTCCACATTGCACCCAAGACATTTGCATCCGTGGATAAATTGTCATTTACATTTAAAATTCGGGCAGTGAGGCATGCTGTGGCCCTCGCCACATTTAAGATCTGGCCAAAGGAACTACTGTTAAAGATGAAAATAATGCACTACTCCCAATTCCATTTTTACTGTGTATTCATAATCCTGAAATGAAACCGGCCAGTCTAACTGGAACCTGGTTTTAGTAGCCAAAATCTTGTCTTTCTTAAGGTTCAGTTATACTAACCTTTATAAGACCAATATATCTGCTTAGAAAGCCTTAGCAAAACGTTTGATAAAAAGTGATGGAAAGAGGAAACTAAGCAGGGCAGTGCTGTACTTCTACTGTAGGTCATGGAACAGTTAGTAGAACACTTGTCAGGTTACTTAGAGTTAAACAAACACACTATTACCAGTTTAGACTAGTGCCATCACCTTTCACTTGAAGTGTAAAGGTAAGTATGAATGTGTAAAATGGTGCTTTAACTTTTTTAAATAATACAAAGGTATTCCAGGAAGTCTTCATTGCTAAAGAGAATGTGCAAGATGTTCTGCATCTAGAGATACGTACCTTGAAAGTACCACAGTCATTTGCATGCACAAGCATAGAACACAAGGTATTATGTACCTTGATCTTGAAGAACCACTGTGAGCCAGTTTTTCCATGAGACTTTGCTCACTGTCCCTTTAAGATATGGAAACTGGAAGAAAACTTTAGTGTTGTTGTCTGTTAATGTGAAACGTACCACTTGGTGCTGGTTCTTCGGAATTGTCAGCTGTTGTGGAGGGGTTTGATTCGGGTTCAGCAGGCTGGTCAGATGTAATGGCCTCAGCAGCAGCTGCTTCTGGTTCATTGTGAGCTACGGCAGCCACAGAGCTCTGTATTTCCTCCGAGGCAACAGGAGCTGCACTGGATGTCTGTGGAGATTCCTCGGCCTGGGTTTGGTCTGGAATTGTCTCGCTGTCTGCTGCAGGGCCACCGTTTTCATTATTTGTTCCTTAGAGATCAAGACAAATATTTACCAGGGTTATTATTGTTAACTAAAACCATAAATAAAGATTCACTTGAAATAAAATAAACTTTAACTAAAATAAAATGTAATAAAATAATAAAACACAAAACTAAATAAAAATTAGAAATGTTGCCTTGGCAATTAGTGGAAATAAGTTGAAGTTGAAGCACTAAAATCACTAAAACTTAAAAACTATTTATAGACATTTAAAAAAACTAATAAAAATGACAAAAACACCAAATAATAAAATTGAAAATATAAAAATAATATCTAAATTCAAAACATTAACAAAAATATAATAGTATATCAATGATACTAAAATAACTTTAAATATTATTTGACATATTAAAATTATTTTGATAATAAAATGTTAAAAATAATAGTGGTTATACAATGTAAATGGATTAAATATAAAACAATAATTGTTTTTTTTCACTATTATTTCCCTCATATTATTGATCACGTGTTTAGGCATATACATATTTTAAATAGGGTACATCTAGGCCTGCACGGAGTCAGAACTTTTTCAGAAAGGTTTCCGCAGCACAAACGATATCAATATCAATACTGAAAAAAATATTCCAATTCGAGTTCAGTATACTCAGTTTGGTTCAACATATTTTACTATATTTAAATCTTTTCCACAGAATTCACATTTCATCAACACAGAAATATGAAAATATATTATGTCCTTTCTCTCTTCCTATCTTCGGTGTATCAAGTGTCAGTAAGGTAGAAGACAACTCTTTTTGAGACCCACTTTAAATTCAACAGAAATCTCTAAACTAAAGCTTGGACTGGTCTACTAAAGAAGCTGCACTGCCTATAATTATATGAAACAAAGCAATACATAGACATTCTGGTTAAATACTGAAAACTAACAACAGGTGCTGAAAGAAAACTGATGCATTAAAACAGGAAAACTAGCAGAGGTTTATGACATCGGTCATCTGTAATCTAAAGCACACAATATTTACATACATGAAACCTTCTTCTCAGCTCCATATAAGCACACACTTTGTTTAAATGTCATCATGGGCAAGTTAACACGCATCACCACACTTGAGGGAGCACCTGAGGTGGGGAGGACCTCCTCTGATCACCTAAATGTATTTCCTCAAATTCCAAGAACTCATCCACTGTGATCGTTCAGGAAACAGGCATGTAACATCAACAAAGCAAAATACAAATTTCCTTCATTTGTTTGACAAATTTAATTCAATCCCATTAAACTCTAAATTCTATTTAAATGTATTTGCTCTTCGAATAGCACTTTTTAAAAACATTATTTGATGAATGTTCATGAGATTGCATCAATTTTTTTGAACGTATGTAAATGTATAATTAGGAGGTGTTTGCCACTATGGATAAAAAGCATCTGCCAAATACTTAAATGTAAGTGTAACATGGGATCATAAAAACTGCATGCATGCATGCTAATGATAAAAACTGTATATTATACTGTTTCTCTGAAAGAAGGTTAATAATCTAAAGGCAGTTATCAAATTGCAATGGTTTTGCTTATGGTTTAAGCTCTGGGCAAGGCGTTTAACCTTAGGTTTCTCTAGGGGGACTTTTAGTGTAATGAATACTGTAAGTTTCTCTATGAGAGACGCTGGAGTCAAGTACATCTAAACTGTATGGCGGACTGATGACAGCATTCTGCATAAGGATCTGGGTGCCTTACACAATGGTTGAGGGTTCAGTTTCAAGTTAGGGTGACCCAGGATCCGAAAAGTAACTAAGATCACAATCTTCCTCTATCACTTAAGGATCTACCATGCATTTTAGCATTGTGTCTATATTATGGTTTTTATATCACATGATCAATATGGTGTTTCATGAGGTTAAGGAAGAATTTTAGGTAAGTGAGCACTGCATGCAGTGCCCATTTACCTAAAACTCTTCCTTAACCTCATGAAACACCTTGCAAATCAACATTTGACCAAATATAGCTCGATTGTGATTTGTGGGCTGTGTAGTCTTACCTGATGTGCTCCCATCTTGTTTGGTGTTGGGTTGTGTTGTGTCTTGAGCTGTGGTCTGAGTGCTAGAAGTGCATCCCATCGTGTCTTCCTCTGACAGGAGTGAAGTCAAGCAGTTTAGTGAGTGTTGTTGTGCCCAGCGGCGCACATCGACTTCAAGTGCAGGAGGAATGTGCTAATTAAACGCGCAGTTGATACAGACAGCACTCATTCCCTGGTCAGGGAACATATTGGGTGTTTCTGAGTGTGTATAAGCGGCGGTCATATGCAAACCTGCTCTTATTCCCGGTAACTTTACAGGTCGCATTTGAATTTGCAATGCTAAGACAGCAGCGAAGTTCTGTCCTCTGATTAAAATGCTTTGTGTTAAGAAATTATAAGAGACGCTTTATGTTCAACTTCAGTTCTAACAACCAAAATAACAATATAAATCTGATAACAGGTTTAATGAGAAAATGTATTCTGACTTTAAAATATAACATCACGTAGCCTACTCCATGTGTTGGTTGAGTTATTTTGGCGACATCTACAGGTGACTTCTGGAGTAGCGCTGGCCAACCCGAACTAGACTGTCGTAAAAACTACTGTAGTCAACATCTTCAGGCTCTACAATAAATATTCCTACAGTACATAACTAAATCTACAACTATGGTACATCATGTCAGGGCGCAGAGAATGCTATGCATCCATAAGAAACTCACTGCTACATTTTTTTAGTTCTATAAGATTCTTTATTTGGATAAATTGTTCTTTGGAGATTGGAAAAGTTCTTTGTTTTAAATTATATCGTTTGCATTAAAATAATGAGGAGACTTATGTTTTTCTGAATTATGACAAAACGTTGTCTGAAAAGTGTTTGGGGTATCAAAAATCCCATTTAATATGCTTCAATCATTCTGCATAAAAATGTTATATTAAGGG